TACCTCGCGTATCTCAGGACCGGCGCCTTTGTATGTCTGCAATTCACACAATATATCGTTGGCCTCAATGAGCACACACTCCACCAGAATGTAGACCTCCTTCTCGGTGTCCGTCGGCTGCGCGTCTGATCCCAAGACATAACCAATTAGTGAGACAATCGGAGACAACCACTCAATGGCTCATATCATGCGATACTCACTCTCGAAGTCGACGAAGACGTCGTATTTCGGGGTCTCGTCTCGCGATAGTAAACGCAATAAGTTTCCCATTATTTGCGCCCAAAATGTATTGCAATTACAGTAATGTTGTGGTCTTATGAGACAACTATGCGTTGATTATCGATATAAATGAGTAGAAAATCGTAATTAATATCCAGTTATTAATAACAAATCAATTGCTATAAAAACACAACAATTTTTGTGTTCACAACACATGTATGAATCGATTGGTGTATTAGGCGTTGAAAATGTGATTGAATGGCAAAAACGTGTGAATAGTATTAAGTTATTAATAACAAATCAATTGCTATAAAAACACAACAATTTTTGTGTTCACAACACATGTATGAATCGATTGGTGTATTAGGCGTTGAAAATGTGATTGAATGGCAAAAACGTGTGAATAGTATTCAATTCACAGCATATTTGACGCGTGTTTTCAGTCAACGATTTAATTAATCATTAATTTGCGGGCATTTGGTGTCGAAAACAAACACGAGATTTGAAATGACAGTCAAAACAAGTGCACAAAAAACAAGCGATGAAATGGTTTGCAAAACAAGTGCCGAAAAGCCAAACAAAACACTATTTTTGAACACAAAACCGATTGACAGGCGATTGGATACACGCGAGAAGTAAACACCAAAAGTGATGCAAAAAATTTTGATCACATTTTGTGTCCAAAGAGAAACAAAAAGTTTTACACAAAAAAACTGTTAAGTCTTTTGTACTGAAAACCCAATCAATTGAATGCCATTTAACGCACAAAACGCCACTTTATTGTATGATTTGGTGGCTATTATTACGAGTGTATCACACAATCAGTGCTAATATATTAATGACGAAAATATTTTGTCGCTTTTGATCCACACTTTGCTGTCATTTATCACAAAATGTGTGTATTTTTGGCGACACTTTCAACGCCTATTCAATGCATTGATCGCTGATTGAGAGGCTATTATTGAATGCATTGAATGCCAATACAGGCAGACATACAGTGTGTGTATGTGTTGAGTGTATTGTACGCCAAAACACTGTATGTATGAAACGAGTCAATCAAACGGTTAACTCAACACTCATTCAAATGAATGCCTTTTTTGCATCAATTCTTTGGGACGCCTTTCGCGCACATACTTTATGAACGACCCGTTTGTGCGTTCAGTTCAATGCAATC